GCAGACCTACCTTTCTATCCTATGCTTCGACGCGCAGTTCTCGAGAACGGGAAGCGCTGGCTTTCGTTTTGCAGCTTCTCAGGTATATGCATGTTTTAAAGAATGACACAACAAACATGTTTTTTGTTTAGTTGTTTTATTTTTGTTTGCAGGAATCGAGTTATAGTTTACCAAATGCATTACATGTTTAGGTTTGCTTTAGCAAGATAGTCATGATACTGTGCATTCAACTGATGCATAGCTGAACAGCATTATATAGAATTTGTCCCCATGGTGCCTCCTAATCACCGACCACCCATATAAAGCTCGGGCATGATACAGAGGGTACCCGGGTACCCCCTCAAAAAAGTTAAGCATGTAACAATCCACTGAGCCGAACCTTTCTGAAAGCTCTTGGAGGCACAACGGTACAACGCCTGCCGTGAGGTACAACGCCTTGCGCTTCTCGCCCTTGTGTGGTGGCCTAACCCTTTTGTCGATGAACCCATACAGCTGCTCGGACGAAAAATCCACATGGGAACCCATTCGGACGGATCATCCGGTCTAGGCCACGGTGTCTAGGCCACTATACCGGAGGCCATGGATTCACCCCCCTTAAACCAGCAGCCACAAATGAAACAAAACATCAATCACATCGCCCAGTCCATGAACTCAGGTGAGCAAGGCTAAAAACCTCCCAGGATGAACTAAGATTAGGCCTTGTCATATGGATCTTCGGCCGGCTCATCACCCAGGTGGTCGCTATCATCAGACTCGTGCGCATTGTGCCTTCGGCTTGCGCGCGCCGATGCTGGGCGATCCCATCTATTATGAGCTCTCGTGGCCTGGGCGGCAGCGGGAGGGCGGCGACCGGTCCGTGGTCGGTTCGACCACCTAACCGCCGTGATACGGTGGAAACCCCTGTGGTGGGAGAGGCCATTCTAAGCCCTGATGTGGGTCCATTGCGGGTGGGATGCGAGGCGAACGGAAAAACGGTGGGTCCCTCGAAATCGGCGCTGGCGCCTTAAAGCCGCTGGGTGTGCGAGTCGACGCCGAACAAACGCCAGTGGATCGGTGGAAGGGAAGATATACAGCAAACCGCGATGATCACCTCCAAAGCGATGGGTTTCCGGCCGCCCTTCATGCAATTCTGAGACGTTCAATCACCAAACCTTCGGACCTCTACCTGCTGGGTTGCTGCTTCAGGAACGTGGTGGGCGGCCCCGCGAGTGACTTCAAAGTGAGGCGCGGCGACCGATCTTCACTCGATGGCACCCCACGGTCTAGCGACCGGTTTCGTGCCGTGCGACCACACAAGGAATCCAAGAGCGAATCTTGCCTACCCAGACGCGACCCCGGGCCCTCATATGGAGCTGCCGGACCCTCATATGGAGGGGTCTGGGGTCGAACCAATCCCTAGGTTTCGAGGGACCGGTCGGGCTGTTTGGAGCGTCTTGCCTACACTTGGCTCCGAACACATCACATGGTTACGTGGATGGCCATGGGCCCTTGGAAGACCATTCTCTTTTACCAACAGGTGGTGCCATCCACGTAACCATCTTAGCGAGTCGGAGGGTGTCAGGTCACAAGACTGAGGAAAGAGATGACGAGGTTTCACAGCTTGGGGACTTCATTTTCTGTCGCACCCCTACCATGGATTTTTCTCAAGGGAGGTCGAAGATGGATGAAGTTGAGAACTTTTGCTGCTGGGGGGGGGCCTTTTCCCACAGCCCAGCACATCCAGATACATCCAGCTACCACCATAGTAGGCAACTCGTGGTTGCCAAAGGCAAGAAGAACTGCCTCTCAAAATCCCTAGAGTTCCTTGTCGAGTGGCCTGGATCCGGGTGGTCAAACCTAGCAGGATCATCCAATGGGTGTCCAATATAGACTACGCTAATCCTACTTACAGGTCTCCATTGGGCACCCGTTGGAAGTGCTAGGCAGCAGGAATTCCAAAGGGATGGTGTTTAGATCCATCCAGTGAGTGGATGTGACAGGTTCACCCCGACTTCCTCCATGCACATCCCGGTGCTGGGACTGGCTCGGGGACTCATCTTCCGCCATGCCTTTCAGGTACCACTCTGCGGAAAACCGACACGAGCGCAAGGAGCTCTTAGGACCCTCGCCACGCCCCTTGGACCGCAAAGAGTGCGGCCTGGCGGGTTGGTGGCTCAGGTGGGATTGTGGGACTAAAATACAGGACTGCAAACATACATACAGAACATTGAACACAATCATGTACACATATGTTTATACGTACATGTGACTTGAGGCGGTTCGTTCAGCCTATCCAGGATCACAATTCGTCAGTAAAGGCATCATGACTGCTGGCCAACTGCTTCAACCAACGGTCTAACCGTTTAACCTGTCCTAGTTGCCCGGAAGCCAACTGGCTGGCCGCATTGTTCCGGGAAGTTGTTTGCAGAGATGCTGCGAATGAATATCATTGCTACTACCACGAGCTGGGCGACACCCTGTCACCCCCGGCTGGGAGCCTGTCCCTTCGTCCCTTTTTTCGCAGAGGACTCCACTTGCACAGTCGGCAGCTGATGATCAAGACCTTTGCCGGGAAGGAAGTGGTCATCACCGCGCCCCTCGAAGTGATGAAATTTGAAATGTCCGGCCCGTCGAGAGTTGAGAAACGCGCTCCGTCGAGCGCAGTGAAACGAACTGCAGCGCTTCGCTGAAGATGTCAAGACCTGCAAGGGTGGTTGGCCGTTTCTCGTAGCAAAGAGATGGAATACATGGAATGATTATGATCATGGAATTCCCCGAGTCAGTTTACATTCTTCCGACCTCTTCTACCCCCTTTTCTGTGCCGTGTGTTCTGACAGAGGCCAAGTGCCGAGCATCAAGCAGCTCCCATCAATTCCGAGGATTGGTCATAGAGTGAGTAGTGCACGAAGAAACGCAGATACCCAGACACGACCACTGACTCCCTGGATACCACGTGTACCACGTGGAAGAAGAGACTGTCCACTTGGGTGCTAAACACCACCCCTTTGTGACTGCTGGTTCATGGATCTGCTGCAGACCTGCACCAACCTTGAAAGGTCTGCCACCTACAGATTCACCGACCAAACGACTGGGGTCGTTGATTTGTGGGCTCTCGCCGTGGCGGGTGAGCGGGTCTCGGGTATTTCCAGCAGATACTGAGGCCGGTGCCCGAGCACTTCGCTCGGTCGTTGAATGCCTTGGGCTGGGAAGATTGGCTGAGGCCGAGGAGGGTGAGGAGGGTGAGGAGAGAGGATGAAGATGGTGCGAATCCAACTGTAAACTAACAAACTATCTAGATACCAGCACCTTCAGTTCAGGCTCACCTGGCTGGAATTCCCCTACTTAGGGATCTCCAGGCAGGACACCCCTTGAAGGTCCATATGGTATGTTTCAGGCTTCTTGGGGCTCTGTGAGGGGAGAGGAAATACAGAGGCTTCTGGTGCTGCTTCTTCGCCGCTGCTCAAGTGTTCAGCTCAGAACAGAGCCAGACTGCAGAATTTGGTGGTTCTGAATTGGACACATCCGAAGCGCTAGGTACGAACCACTTGGAAGTCCCGAGATCGTTCCGAACTCTGGGCGGCCATCAAAGGAAGAGTCCTTTTGAATGCCTTCCTCATCCTTCCTCCCGGAACCGGCATGAGGATTCACCCAACCTGCTTGGTTTTGATTGATCTTCTATTTTCCCGATCGGATCGGGAATCCCATCACCCTGGAGAAGACTCCAAACCTCTTACCCGGCTTCCGGGGAGGCGGACCGCCTCAAATCCAAGCCAGCCAGCCACATCTGGAGTCATGGATCCTTGGATGCTAGGCAGACTGGACGAAGCCCTGTGACCATTTCCCTTCAAGTACCACGGGTGGTTCCAGGTCGGTGTCCAGCTCCTCCGAACCCATCCACACTTGTTTCATCCTCTCCTGCATGGTTTCCCCTATAGACCAGATGAACATCAGTGAACCTCCTTCCTTAGGTCCTTACTCTTTGGGCCACACCCTTCACCCTTCATGGCTTGCAGTCGTGGTTTGTCCTGACCTCCGGGGTGGTCGAACGACTCAGGGTGACTGGGGGGGGGGGGCCTAGATGGCCCCCTAGATGGCCCCCCTAGATGGCCCCCTAGATGGCCCCCTAGATGGCCCTAGATGCTAATACCCTCCTCTCATGATCATCATCACCTGGCAGGGCCTCCTCGTCGCCACCGGAACCCCTCCCTACATCGGACCCACGGCTTACGCTCGGCGCCAGGCGCGCCGAGCACCGCGGGGCGACGCAAAGCACGTGGCGACGTGAGGAGGACCGGCCTGGGCGAGGCGGCGGAGCCTGGATGCCTTGATGTCCAAAGGCCCATGTTTTGGCATCGGACAAGGTATAGAGCACCAATGAGGTTTACTCCAACATGTCGCAGACGGAACCGCTCTATAAGCATCTTTGATCTTCAATGTCGACGGTGCCTTCGTCAGGGTTTGGGCCAGGGCTCAGCAGGTCGGGTGGGGCTCAGCAGGTCGGGTGGGGCTCAGCAGGTCGGGTGGGGCTCAGCAGGTCGGGTGGGGCTCAGCAGGTCGGG